GGGGGGGGGCTGAATTTGAAATCTTTTAATTCCGCATGGACGGAGAACTTCCCTGAAAATTTCAGCCTCCAAGCTTTACTGGTTCCGGAGGCAGTTCTCCCGCCAAAACTTTCACGTGGTCGTAGGCGGAGGTCAGATGTGCTTAAAGGTTGGTACTACGGAACCGGGATGCCAGTTGGGCGGGGAAATCGCTAGCAACACCAGACTGGAACGCACCGGGCGAGCCGGTGTATGAATGGCTGTTGCTTCACACCTATCTTATGCGGTCAGTGGCGTAAATCACCATAAATTCTACACAAAGTAAATATACAATTTCCATTTAATAATCGTTTTTTAAAAGTAACCTAATTGTCCAGTCACAAATTCAGTCAAAAAAAAAAAAATTTTAAGTGTCGTACATAAGAAATACGCATACCTCAAGACTGAATTTGAAATACTCAGGTTGTACCTGGACAGGGGACATTACCCTAAAATTTCAACTTTCTAGCTTTTCTAGTTTCCGAGTTAGTAATTTTTCTGCAGAAAATTTCATACGTCCTTACGTGAGTACAACGCATAGCTGGGGGCTGAATTTGAAATATTTGAGTTGTACTTGAACAGGGAACATTCCATCAAAATTTTACCCTTCCAGCTTTTCTAGTTTCCGAGTTAGCAGTTTTCTCGGCAAAACTTTCACATGGCCGTAAGTGGGTACTCCACGTGCTCGGAAAGCTGAATATGAAATTTTTAAATTGCACGTGGATAGGGAACACCCCTCTAAAATTTCAGCCTCCTAGCTTTCCTGGTTGACGAGTTAGTAATTTTCCCGCAGAAACTTTCATACGTCCTTACATGAGTACCATGCATAGTTTGGGGCTGAATTTAAAATATGAGTTGTATTTGAATAGAGAATATTCTCCCAAAATTTTAGCTTTCTAGCTTTCCTGGTTTCTGGGTCAGCAATTTTCCCGCTAAAACTTTCATATGCCCTTACATGAGTGCGACGCATACCTGGGGGCTGAATTTGAAATCTCTAGCTAGCACATGCACAGGGAAGATCCCTACAATATTTCAGCCCTTTAGCTCGTGTGGTTCCCGAGATCGCTTTCCCGCCAAAAAACTTGCATATTTCTTTAAAGCGTTCGTAGGCGGCACCAAGGCATCCGCAGGGGATGAAATTAAAACGGGAGGGTCTCGCATGGTACGGGCACGTACTCCCAAGGTTTCTGCCTTCTAGCTCTACTGGTTCTCGAGTTGAAAGTGAATGACAAAAAGTGTGAACACACAGATACACACACACAGCCTGCATATATGCAAAAACGCATAAAAATCGAATCCCCGACTTCTAGCATGAAATAACGTAACATTTCAGAGTCTCGGTTTTCCTCACTTATTATAAAGATTAATTCCCAACAATTGTTTGTTTGCCGAATTACAGTTTTTTTAAAAAAAAATCTTCTGATTTCTTGTTTCTTCCGTACTATTTTGCAATCTGCACTTTACTGACATTCGAGTATTTGACTTAGTGGCAGTCACAGAACTGCGTTTGATATTTCGGTCTTTGCTTGAAGTTATTTCTTTGAAGTTTTCTTATCATTTTCGCATTATTTGAATTTCGGTGGACATTCAGGATTTGAGCGACAAAGCCGAAGCTGCATCGAAAACATATGAGGAGCATTTGCAGAATGTTGCTGATCGCGTGGTGCAGTATCAGAATTACTTCAAGGTATCCAGCTCATTTCCTTTTCTTTCAAAAAATGCATTTCTTTTCCAAATCTTGACAATACTCACATTAAAATGCTACTTTTTCATCGAAGTAATAATGCAGCTTATGTTAAAATTTTCGAAGTATGAAAAATACCTAAGACCAATTGGGCAATCAGTTCAAGAGATTACACTTAAGGTTGCAAGAGATTTTGGCAAATCTGGAAACTGAAAGATTCGCTTTTCAAAAAATGGTACCAAACCTCGTTGTATTTTTGAGCTATTCAGCAGTGGCTCACTCTCTTATCATTCATCACCTCAATGCCCTTTACTCAAAAGTCCTAAAATAATAGTTATTCGTGTTCAGGAATCCAGAAATTTCCTTCCAACAACTGGATTATCAGGAATCACCAAAATCCCCTGGAAATGGCTGCAGAAATCTAGTAGATTTGGTGTTATTAGAATACAGCCCCTCTTTTTCCTCCCTTCATTCCACCCCCCTGCGCCCCCCCCCCCCC